GGTGTGAGCAGTGTGTGGGGGCAGCTGGGCCCTGGGCAGGTGTGAGCAGTGTGTGGGGCAGCCAGGTAGGTGTGAGAGCAGTTGGGGGGCAGCCAGGCAGGTGTGAGCAGTATGTGTGGGGCAGCCAGGTAGGTGTGAGCAGTCGGGGGGGGGCAGCTGGGTAGGTGTGAGCAGTGTCGGGGGGCAGCCGGGCAGGTGTGAGCAGTGTGTGTGTGGGCAGCCGGGTAGGTGTGAGCAGTGTGTGTGGGGCAGCCAGGTAGGTGTGAGCAGTGTGGGGGGGCAGCCAGGCAGGTGTGAGCGGTGTTGGGGGAGGCAGCCGGGCAGGTGTGAGCAGTGTCGGGGGGGCAGCCGGGTAGGTGTGAGCAGTGTTGGGGGGGCAGCCGGGCAGGTGTGAGCAGTGTCGGGGGGCAGCCAGGCAGGTGTGAGCAGTGTCGGGAGGGGGTCAGCCGGGCAGCCCTGGGCTGGTGTGAGCAGTGTAGAAAGCGCTGACTCAAGATCTTCCCAAAACGACCACTGGAAGAGCATGCACCATGCGCTTGGGCCACATCCTGTCTGGTCATAGGATCAGGCTGTGTCGTGTGGCTGGAAGGGTGCGCACAGCATGGAGTTTCCACTGAGGACTGACTCTGAAGCCATGCCCTGCCTCCCCAGCTCAGCCCTCAAGCAAGCGCTGGCAAACGGAAGCACAGCAGCGATCCCTTAGCTGTCATCTTGAAGACATTCGATACTTGTGAGTCTTATTATTTCACCTCCACTGTCACTAACCTGGAAGCCTATGGAAATAAGGAGCGTGCAGCTTTTCCATCCTGACAGGTAAAGCATTTTCATTTTTTTGGAGGGGGGGTCCAGTCGTGGGGCCTGAACTCTGGGCCTAGGCGCTGTCCCTCAGCTCTTCAGCTCAAGGCTAGCACTCTATCACTTGAGCCAGAGCGCCACTTCCGGCTTTTTTCTTTTTTCTTATGTGGTGCTGAGGAATCAAACCCAGGGCCTCATGCATGCAAGGCAGGCGCTCTACCACTGAGCCAGCCCAGGTAAAGCATTTTCATTTCTACATCTTAAAGGGTTATTTGCTGGTTTGTAAAAACAGTGTTTTCTTAATAATGATGGCACATGATTACATCCAAAATTATTTCTCTGGCCAGCTTACAGGTTTGTAGGAGCTCACTTATGAGACACAGAATTGTAATTCTTTTGCTTTGTCATTACTTTTTATAGAAGTTCATTTTCTATTACCCTTAAGGAGTTATACAAAGGGTTTTCAATTCAACATGTCAGTTTGTGAATATAATAGGTCTTGATCAGCGTTGTTACTCTTGAATAATCAGGTAACATGTATGGAGGACCTGGACACCGAGGGACACACCTGGACCACAGGACCTCTTAGCCACCAGGTGCTGCAGGTTTTATGGTGAAATCTCCCAACTTAGAACAGGGTAAAAAAACAAACCACCTGGTGCCCTGGGGCCCTGTGTGTGAGCCTGTGTCTACAAGGAAGAAGGGCAACTGACTTCCCACCTAGAAAATAAGCCAACTGCTCAACTCAAACAGGGCCCAAAGCCCAGCACAGGGGCTCACACAGGAAACTAGGTACCCCAGAGGCTGAGGTAGAGTGTGGTTTGACATAAGCCCAAGCAAAAAAGATGCTGAGACCCAATCTCAACCAATAAAAAAGAAAAAGTTGAGTGTGCTGGTAACGCACCTGTGATTTCCAGCTACAAGGACTACAGTCTTACCAGCCCAGGAAAAAGGAAGACCCTAATCAAAAGCTAACAAAAGCAGAAAAAAAGGGTTGAAGGAATGGCTCAAGTGGCAGAGCACCTGCCTAGAACGGGAGGCCTGATTCCAGCCCCAGTACTACCACAAAACACACGTCCCTCAAGTCCTGTGAACAGACGCTCCTCCAACCCACGGAGGAGAGGTGGGGGTTATCTGTTCTTTAACTATGAGTAGAAATGCCCCCCGCAGCTGCCATTGTGGGGCCTGAACTCTGGGCCTGGGCGCTGTCCCTTCGCTCTTCAGCTCAAGGCAAGCGCTCTACCATTTGAGCCGCAGCGTGTCCGGTTTTCTGGTGGTTCACTGGAGATAAGAGTCTCATGGGGACTTTCTGCCCGAGCTAGCTTTGAACCAAGATCCTCAGATCTCAGACTCCTGAGTAGCTAGAATGACAGGTGTGAGCCACCGGCGCCCGGCTTTGTCACAAAACTTGGGTTGGGCCAGGACGGCGCTCTCCTGGGCAGCACCGAGGGTGTGGCGAGGCCCGCGGCCCTGTGGACTCTCCACCTCCCTCCTGCAGCAGTGACACCACACCACCCAACCCTGCTGCTCCCCGAGGCCCAGCGCACGAGCAAGAGCCTCCACACTGCTGAGCAACGTGACCCCCCACGCCACCCACAGGCCCAGGGTGCAGCGATGGAGAGCAGATGCCCGGCCCACTCTGTTTCTGAGCGGTTTCCAGATCATTCCTTGTCTTCAAGCAGCACGCTTTGAAGGCCCACAGCCCGCAGTGTGGCTGTGCCTCGGGACCAACCCCGCAGCGGGCTGAGGCCCCCAGGCGGGGCCAGGAGAGCGTGGGCGGATTCCAAGGCTGGCAGCTCCACCCCATCCCTGCGGCTGGGAGTCGCCTGGCCTGGGACGCGGCCTCACACCCTCTAAACATCAGAGCCGACCCCAGGCCCTGCCCAGCTTCCCACACCCACCGCACCTCTCCCCCAGAGCCACCTCGAACTGTGCTCTAACACTTCCAGCCAACGGTGTCGACAGGAGTCCCTCAGCATTTTGTGTGTGGGTTCTGGCT